CAAGAAAATTGAACAACTAACTAAGCAGCTAGAACAAATGATCTTAAATTATACTACCATCACTGCAGCACTTACTGTACAAGCTGCATCAACTGACCCATGTAAATCTAGAGTACCATGTCGAAGGGTAAATTCTCAAAGAAATCCTGGTATTACTTGTTTCAGGTGTGGTGAACATAGTTACTATGCTATGGATTGTAGTCTGGAGTCACTACCTTATAGAGATCAATGGTACCAAAATTATTGATGACCTAATAATAATAATCAAAATAGAGATATTAATTTCACCGAAGCTGAGTATGATAGTGGAATAGAGGAAGAGGAAATTTATACAGCTCGACATCAATCATATTGTACGAATTAGAAAGAGCAAAAAGGAAAACAAGCAAAACCACATTTATGTAAAATTGCACCTAAACCTTTTACTACAATACCAATGAATATAGAAAATAATCTTATCTCAATCTTCTAAACAAATCATTAATAAATAATTACTTTCTGTAGTAGATAAACTTATCCCATACGATATATCGGAAGATATATTGAATATGCAAGCATGTGCTACATATGCTAGTTGTTGCAGTATTCAAATCAATAGCGTAATTTAGCCAAAGCAGTAAAAAGAACAAAAGCCCTTAGTACAGAGGCTAATTATTCACAAACTAGTGACAAGCAAAAAACTGTTGCAATGCATTGTTACATACGTATTAAAAGCAATCCAGTAGTTGCTATCTTGAATTCAGGCACTGCCGTTAGTATTGTTACTAATTGGTTAATGGATAAACTTGGGTTAGTAATTGATAAGCCTTCCAATATAGTGGTAAAAACAGCGAATAGAAGTTGAATTAAGGTTTTAGGGATAGTTAGCGATGTTTGTATAATTTTACAAGATATTATGATACCTATTGATTTACAAGTTATTGAATCTTTAGAAGAAACCTTATTATTGAGAACAGATTGGTTTAATAAATCTAAAGCCAAGCTAGACTTTGATAAAGAAACATTGTAATATAAGATATTTAAGTAGACAGGCTACCATTAATGCAACATATGTAAGTAACAGAGTCATCGAACAAGAACTCAAAAAGTTCACAGATGAAGAAGAATAGATCGATGAGCTTGAAAAAGATAGTGAAGAGATTCATGAAGCTTTTTATACTGATGAATATGTATCAGAAGA